TTTAAAAATTTATTTATACCAGAACTGGGGTACAGGCCAGAGGTGCAGGAGGGTGAGAGAATTCACCAGAAACAGAGTGGGGAGCACAACAGGCAGACAACCGACAGGCGGACACTGCTGAGGGGAGCAGCAGGTGCGACAGGAGAGGTCTGCCGCACCAAGTGGGTATCTCCCTGGCTGGCTGGGAATTGAAATTTTGATTATATTGATATTCCACAATCATCATATTGATCAACTACATTGATTCAGTAATTCTGACTGGACCCAATCATCAGAGAAAATAAGTATTTTGTATGTCTTTGACATATCTAAAACAGATAGTTGGCTATGAACCCCTCAATAATGTTTCTGGAGGTCTAATATTTAGCATATTACTAGGCTCTCTCAGGCATCGAATACCTAACCTTGATCATCAAGTGATTGTATTCCCTAAGTATCTATCACAAAAAGGATGCTTTCTCATTTTTTTTAAGATTTTTTAATTTATTTATGCATGCAAGATCTGAGGTATAGACCAGAGAGAAGCATTCACCTGAGGATTCACCAGAGACAGAGTGCGGAGCAGAACAGGTTGATGTACTAAAATACACTGCTGAGGGGAACAGGCGAGACAGAAGAGGTCTGCTGCACCATGTGGGCTAGCTCCCTGGCTGGGAATCAAACTCATGCTGCAGTGGCTGGAGATAACTTGATAGTGCTGAGGCTTTAAACCCTGCACCACCAGGGAGGCCCATATCTCATTCTTCTAACTATAAAATTGAGACCCAAGAAATGGCATTGTATAATCAAGTAGAAATGGTAAATAAGAGATCAGGCTTAGCAGGTCCAGAGGCATAAGGGCATTGCATTAATTTATGACCCACTTTCTTCAACAACTGCTACTGCTTGATTGCCTTGTTTTCTTCAATACACACCTGTAGCTACATGGGCACTGGTATACTTAACAGTATAAAGTGACTCATGTCAGTCCTTATGACCAATGGACAGTTTACTGTGTAAATTAATCAGCCACCTAGAGGCAAGTTAATTTTGCAGAGACCTTTCCATCTAGGAGAAATTAAAATTTTTGCCTCATTGCGTAACTTATATTCTGGATATGCATTTTTTCCTAACCATAATATTTCAGTTTACACAACCATCGATAGATTTCAGAAATGTTTTATTCACTTACATTCATCACAAATTTACCTCTTCTGATTGAGGAATATATTTTACAGTTAAATTGAAATTTACAGTTAAATTGGAATTTTATCAGAAATGGACTTATGACCATGAAAGTCACTGATTTTATTTATTTTTTTTAATAGAGGCATGTTTATTTATTTATTTGTTTGTTTGTTTTGTTTATACATGCACTGGGTACAGTCAGAAGCGCGGGAGGGTGAGAGAATTCACCAGAGCCAGAGCGGGGAGCTGAGCAGGCAGAAGGACCGAAATACACTGCTGAGGGGAGCAGCGGGCGGCAGGAGAGGTCTGTGCACCATGTGGGACCCTCCTCCGGTGGCCGGGGAGCAGACGGGGATCGAACCGTTGCCGCAGAGGCCGCGGGCAGCTTCGCAACCCAGCGCTCAACCGCTGCGCCACCGGGGAGGCCCGAAAGTCACTGATTTTAACAGATACATGGTTTAATAGGATGGTAGAAAGACACACTAGCAAATTCATTATAACTTTCATGGGTTAGGACAGCTTCATTATCTAAATTTGGAATAAGAATGTCGAAGGGGTGATAGATTCCTTTACTGTTACACCTGATGTCCCAATCACAAAATTTTTGCTTAAAACCACCATTAATTTAAGAATACTGGGTTGAAATTTCTGGTTCTTAAGTAAGAAATACCTCCACCAGAGTGCACAATACTTTCTTTAATGTTGAAAACTAAGACTGACTATTGATCATTTGAGTTTGACCAAAGAATGTGTACAACTATAGTTTAATACATCTGTGAAGTAAGTCTTAATAATCAAATGAAATTGAAGGAGAATTTGCCTGTCTGAGAAATATGTCAATACTAAGTTTAGATAGCAAGGCAGAATGTGAGTAAAATGTTTTGAGTAGAGAGCACATACCACACTTGGGTTTTGTTAAGGCAAATTATATTACAAGACAATATAAACTGCATTTCTTATTCTTTTTGGGGGAGCACTGTAGAATCTTATGCTCTTTATTTTTGTAATTATTTTTTACATAATTGTTCATTTTTTAACAACATTTGCTTCCCCCCACACCAGGTGTAGTCCCCATCAAATTTCCTTCACCAATGAACCCATGCACCATTACCACAGTCCCCTGTGCTCCTCCTTCCCTCCCTCTGGTCACTCTCCTTCCTCCTCCCCTGCAGGATGTCTCTGGTTTATAATTGTCTGGTTTTGTTTTGTTGTGTTTTGTACTGTTATTGTTTTTTTTTTTTTTTTTTTACACTGTGGTCTTATTTGGTTCCTCTGTAGTCATCTCATAAGTGAAACCATCCAATATTTTTCTTTTTCCTTCTAACTTATTTCACTGAGCATAATTCCTCCATAGAAGATAATATAGGTAAAACACTACAGGCATACACCTTAGTAACATCTTTAAAGACTCATCACCCAAAGCAAAGAAAGTCAAGGAAAAGATAAACACCTGGAATTACAGCAAACTGAAACGTTTCTGTACAACAAAAGAGACTTTAACCAAGACAAAGAGACACCCCAGTGATTGGGAAAAAATTTTTTGCACTCCATACAAATGATAAGGGACTGATCACAAAAATATACAAAGAACTCACATGATTCAACAAAAACAAATTTTCCAGTCGAGAAATGGGCAGAAGAACTTAAAGATGTTTCTCCAAAGGCAAAATGCAAATGGCCAACAGGCAGATGAAAAAATGTTCAACATCCCTTATAATCAGGGAAATGCAAACCAAAACCACGTTGAGATACCACCTTACACCAGAAAGAATAGAACATATCAAAAAAAAAAAAAATAGCAACAACAAATGTTGTCGAGGATGTGGTGAAAAGGAATTCTCCTACATTGCAGGTGGGAGTGCAAACTGGTCCATTTGTCATTCTTATTCTTTCTACTTTCAAAATGTTGGGAAATCCCTATGAACTGTGAGAAAAAAGATACTCAACATTCTGGATAGTAAAAAAGTTGCTAAATATAGAATCACAACAATGCACAGAATGAATAGGTGTACTCAAGAGAGTGAATTAAGGCTATCACTCAAGATGGAGAGCAAATGTTTCACTGTTAATCTTTAGTACTACCTGTGGTCAGGTATGACCAAGAAGATTTTATCATTTCTAGACTTTACAACATCATCAAATTAGATTGCAAATTATGCCATTTCCAACATATTTTTATTTGATTGAAAGAGATATTCTGGTATTTTATTCTTGTATAAATTACCCTTTCACTTTCCTTTGAAGAAAATACTTATCAATGTATAGTATAGTATCAGATGTAATATAATATGTGATTAGATATACTATCATTTAATAAATACATACTCTTGGAAATCAAGTAGATCTTTAAATCCTAACATGAATGAAAAAACAAAACTGTTACCTGGAGGAAATTCAATTCCTATTTCCTGATCACATTTACCTATTAATAATTTAGGGATAATAATAGAAAGCATTTAAAGTAATACATGTAATAACATTGAGTGGGCATTCAAAGGTGCTAAGTGTATTATTTTTTATTCTGCCATTCTGCTATGTTTTGTTCCCAATTAAGAAATAAACACTGCATATGTGCTATATTTTTATTTTAGGACTTTCATTATCAAGTCTTACAAGTGAAATTTAATCCATTTATTTATAATTCTGTAAAAAGGAAGGCAAATTTATATATAATTTGAAATACTTAGGAATATATTCCTAATGACAAAAACGATGCTTAAATATATCATGAACAACAAATGCTGTGGTTATTTTAGTGGAAAAATTTTCCTCTATATGTCCATTGAAAAGTATTTTTGAATGCTTACTACATATGAACCATTGTACTAAGGACTGCAGTTGCAAGAATTAATTAAGTAAGGGATGGATCTTGCCCTTAAGGAGCTTATATTTCACAACTTTTATACACACAGTAATAACTTAAAACATGAATATTAGTCCTTAAGACTGAAGTAACCAAGGAAAATATCAAGTTTTATTTTTTGACTTATTGAGTTAATGGATAACAAACCCAGGACTATCATCTACTGTTCTTTAGTACATGTCACCTCTGTTATCACATTCTCCAATTTCTTCCCCACTGCTTCTTGTTAGTATTTGAGTGGGAAGTTATGCTTAAAAAAGTGTATTCATTTGCCTCTGGACAAGAGATTAAGGGAAATAATTGAGGGGAGGAGTCAATGATTTAAAAACACTTTCTAACTTGTTTGGAGAAAAGCCAAGAGATATTTATTGAGATGCTACACCAGAGCTGTTTTATGTTGCTGAATGAATTTCAGGTCCTGATAGAACATAATCAAAGCAGAGGAGACTGCTTAGATAAATCTTTCACAAAGAAGTATCATTAATGTAGATTTTAAGGAAAAATCCCATGGTTTTCTACAGGTTGATTAATGAATGTTGATACTCCTTGAATTATACTAACCCTATTCCTGCTATTGGAGATAGGCATAACCTATAGATAAAAACTGAATACTTTGAATTTTTCAATCTATTTCACAAGATCTACCTGTTGTCTATTTGAAGAACTTAAAATTCTACACTTTAGATATTTCCCTTTTTTTAATTTTTTTTAAAGATTTGTTTATTTATTTATACAAGCACTGGGTACAGTCAGAAGCACGGGAGGGTGAGAGAATTCACCAGAGCCAGAGGGGGGAGCAGAGCAGGCAGAAGGACTGAAGTACACTGCTGAGGGGAGCAGCGGGTGGCAGGAGAGGTCTGCACGCCACGTGGAACCCTCCTCCAGTGGCCGGGAGAAGCTGGGGATCGAACTGGCCCTGCAAAGGCTGCTTCGCAACCAAGCACTCAACCACTGAGCCACCGGGGAGGCCCTACATATTTCCCTTTGAATGAATGGAGTAGCTTCTGAATCTCTTCATAGCATTTTGCATCTCCTTATTTCTCAGTGTGTAAATGGTTGGATTTAGGAGAGGGGTAAAAACAGAGTAAAATACAACAAGGAATTTGTCTATCCAAGTAACGTTGAGTGGCCACACATAGATGAAGAGGCAGGGTCCAAAGAAGAGCACTACCACTGTAATATGGGCAGTGCAGGTAGAGAGTGCCTTGGATGAGCCAGTTTTAGAGTTTTGGTGGACAGTTTGAAGAATATATGTATATGATATCAGCAATAGTATAAAGCAGGTCGTAGCGAGAATACCACTGTCAGCATTCATTAATATTCCCAAGTTGTAGGAATCGATGCAGGCAAGTTTGATTACCAATGGTATATCACAGAAGAAGCTGTCTATTTCCTTAGGGCCACAGAAAGGCAGCTGAACAATCACAACCATTTGGCTCATGGCATGCACAAAACCAATGGTCCAGGAAGTTGCCACCAACCCAATGCACTTTTGAAGACTCATAATAGTTGAATAATGGAGTGGCTTACAGATGGCTACATAACGGTCATAGGCCATTACCACCAATAACACCATCTCAGTCCCTCCAGCAAGATGCACAAATAGAATCTGACACATGCAGCCTCCAAACGAAATCGTCTTCTTTTCCCTGAGAAAGTCTGTGATCAGCTTTGGAGTTGTGATTGAACAAAGGAACGTATCAACAAAGGACAGATTTGCCAACAGGAAGTACATGGGGGAATGAAGATGGGAGTCCATGATTATTAACAGAACAATGGCAATATTTCCAAATACAATCATCAGGTAAATAATAAGAAATATCAAAAAGAATAAGACCTGCATAGTCCATGATTTGCAAAGTCCCAGAAGCACAAATTCTGACACAACAGACAGATTTCCTTTATCCATCTAGGGTACCCTCTCAATAACCTAGAGAGAATGATAAATTGTTAGTGATATGGGAAAGAGTATTTAATTTTTAAGTGTTGTAATATGTTAATTCAGTATTCAAATATAATTGAATGTGACTATACAAATAAAAAGTACTTTTGAAAAAGTTATATGTTATCAGTATCATTCGGCGTATAAAAAATTGTTCTATCTCCAGCAACACTACATTTGAAAATTTCACTGTAATGTTGAATTTCTTCATGTCTCAGATGAAAAATATTGAAAAAGTATAAAATGAACATGGAAGTTGGTGAACTTTATGGGGATTATAACCAAGATGAAAATGCATACATTGTATAAAATTGAATAATGATGTAAAAATATATATAAAATAATCTTAAAAAAACAAAAAAACATTGATTGTCAATGTAAAGTATAAACAATAGCTAATTTAAAACATAGCCTTATCTTTATAAGAGTATTTCATTTTTAGAAATATTATTAACATTTATATCTAAAATGAAAAGTATAATTGGGAACACAAATATTGAAAAAATACCCAAAGAGAAGCTAAACATTTGATTGAAAGTCCATGAAGCATAGTCTGAAATAGTATCATTATTCAAATGATTAATTGAGAGTACTTTTACAGGAAGGTAGCAAGTAAACAGGACACCAAAAGTTTAAAAAAATTGTGTGATATCACATGGAGATTAGCTTTAGTTCACTACCCCAGTAAAAATATCTGTGTAGAGCACCACCAACAATCATTTCCTAGGTAAATAAAATTTAATTTGTCTGCTGAGGAATACGATGCACTGATATTAAAATCCAGAGCAAATAACATGAAAACAAAACATAGTAAATACCATGGCATGATGATTCAGATGCACAGTTAAGTATCTCATATATCAGTAATTCAGATCTACAATTAAATGGAATTCATTTAGTGAAATAAATGGATTAGATAAACATCAGTGCCATAAAATACAAAGAAGAAAACATAAGTAAAACACTTCACTACTCAGGTTTTGTTGATGTGCTTCTGGATACATCTCCAACAGCAAGAAAGACAAAAGAAAATATAATTGGGTCTACATCAAGCTAGAAAGCTTATCCACAGTGAAAGAAGCTATCACTTACATGAAAATACACCCTATTAAATGAGATAAAATATTTGTGTGCCATATAGCTGAATGGAGACTAGATATCTAAGATCTGCAAATAAATCAGACAAATAAAAAAAAATAAAAACTAATAACCCATTCAAATAAATGGACAAAAAAGGATAAATAAGCACTCTGCAAAAGATATACACAGTCAACAGGCTTATGAAATATACACATAGTCAACAAGCTTATGAAAGAATTCTCAACATCATTTAGTCAGGAATACACAATTTATAGTCAGGAATACACAATTCACAATTACAATGAGATATTACCTCACACCTGTGAGAATAGCCAATGTCAAAGAGACCAGAAGCATCAAGTGTTGGTGAATAAAAAATGTGACCCTTAGTGCATTATGGATGGGAGTGTAGACTGATCTAGTCCTTATAGAAAACAGTATGGAGGTTTCTTAAAATTTAAAGAATGGTCTGCCATTTGACCCAGCAATTCCATGCCTAGATATCTACCCAAAGAATTCAGAAACAAAAACTTGAAGGAATATATACACCTCTATGTTCACTGCAGCACTCTTTATAATAGCCAATCTATGGAAACTGACTCAGTCTTAACAGTGTGATCCCATACCTTTTAATCATATGCAGTGTTACAAACCAAAGGTACCTCAATTAAAAAAAAAAAAGAAAGACTGTGAGTGAAGAGTTATGTGAGAAATGTATTGACTTATTAATTTAGTAGTATTAAAATATAGCAGCATATTTTACCTTTTTATAAGTGATGTCCTCCCACTGAAATTTTTAATAGTAACAATTCTTAAATGTTAAAATGCTCAAATTTGTATTTTATAAGTACCTGAATTGAGAGGATTTAATAAGTTACCCAGTACATAGTCAGATGAGGTACACAGGTAGATAGCCCAAGTTCTTTTCACTAGCTCAAGCTGCTTTCTTTTTTTTTCACATTAGGAATTTTAATCCTATAATAACTGAGTTTCATGTCAATTCTTAATGGACACATGACCCCTTTTACTTATACCTCTATGCTAAAAGCTATCTTAGCAATACTCTAAGATATAAACAACTTTATCTTCTTCAATGGCAAGGACCTTTGCCATTCTGGCAGATCACTGAAAGTTGCTAATGTCAAGTGCTGTTTGAGAACTGTGATCTTCCAAAGCACACTGAGTGCATCTGAGTGCACTGTGGTATGATGATAATACACTCTTGTCAAAGAGACCATGGAAATTCCAGTAGGAATACAATAGTAGGAGAAAAGATGTGAATTATCTTAAAAGACAGAAGCCAAGCATTCCCTACTCAACTCCATGCATAATAGCCACATGTGAAACAGATACATAGAAATATTTTTTTTAAATGACAGGAACAATACAGATGACACAGATAACTTACTAAACACAAAATTTGCCCTAAGTCCAGATGAATTTTCACTTCTCTGATGGATGTATGTGTGTAATGGTATCAGTTATTGTTGGGTAGAGACAGTGTCAGTGGAAGAGCTTCCCAAACTCAGCCTGATATATAATTCATCCCTGGCAGATTCAGCCCTGGAAACCCCTTGGGTGATATTTTCCTCTTCTATGTTCTGGACATAACAAGAACCATGAAAATAATTATAATGAACATCTCTTGGGGATTTTTTTTGTCAAGTGTGATGACTTCTGCATGTTGTAAAGATTTGAACAAAGAGACGAGGAAAATCACATAAAATACAACTAAACATTCAATATTAGTGAAGTTTTAAATTGTATTTCATTTAAACCGCAAATACTAAAGAGATATCCTTATAATCCTCATCCCCCACAATCTATATCCTGAAGTACAATGGTAGTTTGTTAGCATCATTGAGCCTACACTGATACATCGTTACCACTCAAGATTGATAGTTCACATTCAAGTTCATTCTTGGTGTTGAACATTCTATGAGTTTTTGACATTGATATATATTCATCATTGTAGTATTGTACAGAATAAATTTACAGCATTAAAAGTCTTCTGAGTTCTGATTACTTATTCTTCCCTCTCTTTTAACCTCTTGGAACTCTTGATGTTTTCAGTGACTCTATAGTTTTACCATTGCTACAGTACCGTATGTTTAGAATCATATAGAATGTAATATGCATGTATATAAGATTCTTTCATGTCTTTTCATGGCTGGCTATCTTATCTTAATTATAGTATTGAATAATATTTCATTGTCTGGATATACCACAGATACTTATCCATTTACCTACTGAGGAACTATTTAGTTGCATCAAATTTTTTGCCTATATGAAAAAGTTGTTGTAATCATCAGTTGTAGGTTTTTGTGTGGAAAGAAATTTTTAATGCCTTTTGTCAAATACAAAGGAATGTGGTCATAGAATTGTATGGTAAAAACTTTTCAATTTTGTAAGAATTTACCAAACTCTCCTATTTTGCATTCCCATCATCAATGAATGAGGGTACTTGTTCCATATTGTTATCTGTATTTGTGTTGTCAATGTTTTGTATTTAGTCATTCCAATGGGTTTGCAGTGCTATATCATTATTGTTTAGCTTTAAATTCTCTAATGTTACATGATATTGAACAAATTTCAAAATGCTTGTCTTTTTACATATTGTTTTAAAAAATATTTATTTGTAGAAGAACTGGGGTGAAGACCTGATTTGCGGGCTGAGAGGATTCACCAGAGACAGAGTGGGGAGCAGAACAGGTTGATCTACTGAAATCACTGTTGAGGGGAGTGACAGGAGAGACAAGAGAGGTCTGCTGCTCCATGTGGGCTAGCTCTTTGCCTGGGAATCAAAATTATGATGCAGTGGCTGGGGATAGCTTGATAGTGCTGAAACTTTAACTCTGTATCACCATATCTCATTATTCTAACCATAAAATTGAGATCCAAGAAAGGGCATTGCATCATTAAGTAGACATGCTAAATTTAGATCAGGCTTAGCAGGTCCAGAGGCACAAAGGAATTGCATTAATTTATGACCCATTTTCTGCAACAACTGCTACTGCTTGATTGCCTTGTTTTCTTCAATATGCACCCGTAGCTACATGGGCACTGGTATACTTAACAGTGTAAAGTGACTCATTTCAGTTCTTATGACCAATAGACTGAAAATAAAACTCTGGACCCGAATTTACAGTTGGTTTTGCATGATATGTTCACAGCAACTAGAAGTGACAGTCTGTGGCTTTAGAGCCTCAATTTAGTAAAGTATTATGGTTAGATAGTAATTGGTTATGGTTAGTACTCTGATTATGGTCCTGAAGGAGTGTTGAATAATAATTATCTCTTTTGGATGAAATGAAAGCTGTGCATGTGTCCGTTTTGTTTAGCTAGAAGCATGGATTTATATTGATGTATGAACATTTACTAATTTTTTGGTAAATGGACATGACTTTGAATGAATAGAATTATAACTTGTGACAAATAATTCCAGGGGAAGGCTTTTATCTTTCAGAATGGGTACAAGTTTATGAAAATACAAGTGTTCCATCTGAGTGTTCACCAACAGGCATCCATCTAAGAAAGAAGCTTTCATAACCTTGTAGATATGACAGTTCTGTGCATGTTAACCTCTTTTTTTACAATTATTTCATTGCTTGCTCAATGGGGTCATAGAATTGAAGATCAAGTGTTGCTAAACATGAAATTCCTCACATAGCTTGATTTTGGTATCAGTACTTGTCCCTTTAATTTGATAAACCTTATGGCACAGTTTCCTGTGTTAAATAATCAGCCACCTAGAGGCAAGTTAATTTTGCAGAGACCTTTCCATCAAGGGGAAACTAGCATTTTTACCCATTACATAACTTGTATTCTGGATATTCATTTTTTCCTAACCATAATATTTCAGTTTACACAACCATTGATAGATTTCAGAA